GGAAAATCATTGTGACATGGTGGTGTTTATACAATGAGTGCAGTCATGTTTCTCTGCAAGATCGCTGTTTCTTCCTGGCGCGTTTCAGCTGGCTTATTATTTTGGCAGCTAAACTGAGAAATCCAGTAGGTGACAGCACTGCAGCTAAGTCACGTGCTGTGCACCCGTACTGAAGACAGAACGCAAACCTTCTTGGCTAACGTCTCATTCTGCGTAATTTTATTTTTACATCTGGAATAACTATGAAAATTTAATTGCCGTCAGAACTTGAGGAATGAGTTTTAGAGTGATGGTTTCTGTGTTCAGACATTAACACAGCTTCCATTTTTAAGTGAAGCCAGTTGAATGGACTGCAGGGGTTTGTGTGTCCCAGTACATTTTCGAGCCATCGTCCATCCTTGTGGAAATACCCGTTGTGGTGACCTCGTTGTGTACCCGTTGAGTTACTGTTGGTTGAGCACTGAATTTATTCTTGGTCGTGAAGTTCGGTTCCATTCAGAGGGCTAATGCTGCCTTACATCGACCCTGCTAAAGCTCCCTGTCTCCCCAGAGCTCTCGGTCACACTCCTGCCTGAAGAGTGCTGGGGACACCTTCCAAAATACAGGCTCTAATTTTTGCAGTCTGTGGGTGACTTTTACATCCGGGCTACTACCTGTATGAATGCGAACCTCTCCATAAGCTAGGGTGACCTACAGATTGGCTGTTTTCTGCTAAAAATGATACAGAGCTCTAACCGAACTTCTAGATACAGTGTCAGTACATCCACGTGTTGGGACTGGCATATTGAATGGGAAAATAAAACGGTTCTTGCAGTCATACGTCACTGTCCCTTGTGTTTTGGCATTGGTGAATTTTTCCGGTCGTGTAACTATACCAACTTGCCAAAGCAGCAACTTGATTTCAGCAAAATTAGTTTAATTTGTTAGCAAGTCACCATCTCAAATCCAAGGAACGGGGGCCTGAAGTTGGTGGCATATTCTGACTCGGCCGCTAGGGCTGCTTTTGGGGCGTGGGAAGAGGCTACCTTGCAGGACTCTTTCTCCTTCCCTTAGCACTGGGAGGCAACGAAGTAGCTGAGTCGATGCTGTGGAGCGATGGCACCTTGATGCCCTTCTGTTTCAGCATCTGATGGAACTCCATCCGTTCGTTAATTATTTTCTGAAAGTCAGGGATGTGTGAAGAGGAAAGCATTAGGTACTGCCAAGTGTTCTCTTATCTCATCAGTCCCTTGCCAGCTGCTGGAAGCAGAGCTTGCAAGAGCCACGTACCTGCATCGCCTCCAGCACCTCCTCATCCGTGACCTCTGCCTGGGGAGGCTTGCTGCCTGCCGTACTGAACGTAGCCTGAATTATTTTGCTTCGGTATCTTTCAAACTGTTGATAAAAGAGGAAAGTAAGGGGTGTTTAGTCTTTGCATTCAATTCTTTGGCATTTGCATGGATTCACAGAGACTACACTGTCAGACTTGGCCAAAGTACCAGTGAATGATGAAATGGGAAGTCTGGTTATGTTTGACTGGGCAGTCTGGCTGGGCTTCACTGCAAGCTCTGCGATAAATGATGTGTTACTGGGTGGACTGGGTGGACCCTTACCCAGGTGTTGGGCTCTGTGCTTGCTCCCAGGCGCGTATGGCTGCAGGAAATGGCTTTAAGGTGATAACCTGTTACTTTGAGGCTGGAAGGATATCAGAAATCTGGTCACGTAACTCTTCCGAACCCGAGTTTCTCAAGAGCTGCTGGTGTTTGAGGCCGGTTTGCTTTGTAAGTGACGTAAGAGCTGCATGCTAAAAAGCTGGGAAGCAAACGGTCTGAGTTCCCTGCTCCTCTGGCCCTGTGGCCGCAGAGGGAAGCCGGGCCCCGAGGGCAAAGGACTGCAGTGCCCTGCTGCATCCTCCCGCTGTGCTGCTGCACCGAATGTCTCAGCTTTCAGATTCTGCGCTTGAAATGGTTGAAGTGTCTCCCAGGAGGGAGGCAGGAGTCTGAAGCGAAGGAGGCTGCGCTTACCCTGCTGGTGACACGTTCCAGTGCCACCCTGGTTTGCAGCTCCCTGTGCTGCAGCGTCTCAGCTTGGCTCTGGATCGCCTCTTGGGCACGTTGCTGCTTGTGGATATGGTGTCGGCTGGTCAGAACCTCTGCCTGTAGCTGGCTGACTGTCCCCTGTAACTCACTGATCAGCTTGTTCTGCTCAGCCAGTTTGGATTCTTGTTCTGTAACGACCTGAGGAGATCCATAAATCAAGCCATTATGGTGAGGAAGAAAGCGAGCAGGCTTGGCCGCATCTTCCCAGTATCTGCTCCAAAAGCTGCTTCTATTTCCTGGGCAGAGCCTACCGACTGACAGCCTTGCCAGGACTGGTACCTTATTACTTGGCGTTTTCTCTAAAACTACTGGATCGAGGAGGCTTCTTTACGCAGTTAACTCCCTCAAGCCTAAACCAAGCACAACTCAGCCGCTAATACAAGTATTTTCTATAGCGGCTTTGCACTGAATTTACCTGCCGAAGACTGCAGTTCTCCTCCTCCATTGCCACCACCATTTCTTCGTGCTTCCGCTCTTCTCTCAGGCTGCAAAACTTAAGAGAAAAGGTTTTATCCTTCAGCTTTGCAGTTCACGGGGGCACCTCCTGCCTGTGAGAAAGGGGACTGTTGGATAAAGCCCAATTCCCCGCTGCCGGCTCTCCTAACAACGATGGCCACCCTGCCCTCGGGGCTGTACCTTGCTAGACATGGCTTGTAGCTGATTTTCTCGCTCTCCGAGCTGCTTCTGGAGCATTTCCTTTTCAGATTTGGTTCTCCGGAGCTGGGATTCTTGGATCTCCAGTTGTCTTTGCAAGGAAGAGATGGCACCTGTAAGGTTGGGGTAGCGCTGTAAGCAAACCGAGTCCCTGCCGAAAGCTTCGTGGCATCTTTTTTCGGGTAAGCATAAGCAGAGCTGTTGTTAACCATCTGAGTATAGGCCGTGGGTGAAGTTAACGCTGCGGCCACAGTGACGCGGGTTAATAACGCATTTCGTAGTACTTTGCTGTTAGGTGTATTGAACTTAACCGAGGTCATGGGGTGAGGTAGGGGCTACTCCGAGGGCTAACGGCGCCGGCTGCGGGAGCACAGGTTTGCGGGAGCGCTGAAGGGCTCCTGGACGCCCCAGCACTGCTCGGGCTTCCTCTGCGGCGTCCCCCCCGCACGTCCCTTCCACGGGGGGAGGGAAGGCGGTTCGGAAGTCGCGTTTCTGCCCCGCTCTGCAAGCAGCAGTGGGAGGCAGGAGGCTTGGCGCTCCTGGGAGCGCGGCCGAGAGGTTTTTCCCAGGTCAAAGGCGCGGGGGGAGCCAGGGCGTTCTCGGGACGCGCTCCCC